TGCCACATTTTTGCCACGCCGTCAAAAGTCAATGTTAAGTTGATTAGTGTTTGGTCAACTGTTAACTATAACGGTCACCGAAATTGTGAGGACATAAATGACACACAACTATCTTACGTTAGTTCTGAAAAATTCCAAAAATACCACTATTTTCCATAAACAGCCACCCCACCCCGCGGTTTAAATGAAAACCGCTGGGCAGGGTGCAGTTTTTGGGAATGTCGGCTCAACACAACATTGGTACAAGGCGGCGGTTACCATTCAGAACACATGCACCCCCTGCAGTTTACATATTAATTTTTTTTTGGAATAATGCTAACTTAGGCCGAAACTTCAAGCAAACGTAACTTTGCGCTCGGGTATCTGATCACGGCGAATTTTTTTTGATTTCGCATAACTTTTCGAGATCTTACAAGTCGGAAACTATCGTTTTGGTCCCCCCAAGTTTCGGAAATGAGTGGTATTTTTTGTGGTATAGTTGGAAAATTTCCCTTTCCCCAAGTCTGCGTGCAGTGATTCCGAATTCCCATCCATTCTCAATCCTCTCGAGAGCCACGACTTGACTCCTCGTCTTCTATCTTCTTAGAGCCAATCAACCAAGCAAGCCATTCAATGCAGCCCAATCCTCCTCGTCCCTCGACTCTTCTCCTTCGTTAAATGAGTTCTTAACAAGAAGCTCGTCTATCTCGTCACTTTGGCAACTAGAGGCAGGCAACCACTTACAGAGGTTAGATTATTAATTTCTTCTTCTTCTTACTACTACCTCTGTAATAGTCAATTTCTTTCTTGGTTCAATTCGAATTTCTGGGTTCAAGAGGTTGTGTTTGATATTGGTTTAGTTGCATACTGTTGATGTTGATATGGGTCAGTTGCATGTTGCTGCTGTGTAATTAGTTGATCTGGGTTACTTGTATACTACTTTTGTTGTTAATCCATGGTTGTTGTTGTTGCTATGTTTGATCTGGGTTACTTGTATACTACACTTTGATGCTCACTCGCAGGCAAAAATGGCTCAAGAGGCTGTTGTTGTTGCTAATTCACAACCACAAAATCAAGAGGCTGTTGTAACTAATCCAGAAGCACAAAATCCAGAACCCACACTTGTTGGTGAGGATGAAGATGTTCTAGATTTACAAAGATAAGAAAGGGAGGCGTCATCAAGGCTAAATGCAGCCATTGCAAGAAGTTGCTTGCTGGTGAATCTAATAGTGGTACTTTGCAAGTGAGAAATCATCCAAAGATTTGTATGCAAAGGAAGATTCAGGATGGGAAGCAAAAGGTACTTGGTGCTAACTTTGTAATTAAGGGAAAGAGGGAAATGGTTCCTACTCTGTTTAACACAGCTGTTTCGAGGCAAGATCTTGCTATGGCCGTTCTTATGCATGAGTATTCTCGGTCTATGGTAGATCATTTATATTTTAGAAGGTTCTTGTCTGGCCTCCACCCCTTGTTTAGTGTTCCTACAAGGAATACTCTTAAAAGCAACATTTTAATGTGTGAGAGTGAGAAGAGTAGGATCATGAAATTGGTTGGTGGTAACAAAGGGAGGGTTGTATTACAACTGATATGTGGATAGCAAGCAACAAGAAAAGGGTTACAAGGATATTACTACTTATTATATGGACAATTTTTGGATTCCTTGAAGTCACTTACTTAGGTATGATATGTAATACATAATGTCAATGCTTCATGTTTATTTGGTGAGGAGTCACTAACTTACCATTTTCCTTATCTTTTCTTTTTTGTAGGTTCGCTTATGTTCCAACTCCGCATACAAGTAACAGGATGGCTATTGTTTTGTTTGACAGTATGATGGACTGGAATGTCGATTCTAAGGTATCAACTATAACCTTAGATAACTGTAGCACCAATGATTTTATGATTGAGAAGGTTAAGAATAAATTGGTGATGTCTTGTTTGCTTGGGGGGGGGGTGCTTTACTACTACATATGAGATGTTATGCACATATTATGTGATATGATCCTAAATGGATCATTCCACAATTCAGAATTGCTTGGTCAAGAAGCAATCTCACCCACTAACAAGAACCGTCAAATTTGGCTAAGTATTTATTCTGTTTTAGGGCACCTACTTTGCAAGCCTGTTTCTTACAATTGGCTCGATGGAAATTCAAGTGGAAGGCTTGGAAGTGAAGTCCATATTTTTTTTCTATATGTTGGAAGGATTGAAGGCTCAAAATCAAGTCTTAAAGGACATTTCCCAAAGCCCTCAAGTTGCTACCTCAAAACCGAGAAACTGCCATAATATGGCTAAGTATGGATATGTGTTCATGATGCCTACTTTAGAGCCTTATTCGAGAAGAATGGTTCAGATTCGATCCAGAAGCTTTGTGCCACATGAAATTATGCATGTTCTTCTACAAAGAAAATGGATTGTTTGATTGAATGCTTACCTTGAAGGCTTCGAACAAACTCTTGCAAGATCATATGAAGGCTTGTTGTCTGTCTTGCAAATCCGAATCCTTCTCGGATTAGGATTACTTTCCTTTTTCTATTTTGAGCTTTGATTTCGAGTTACATTGTATTTAGACTTCTTTTCATTGTTTTTTTTTTACCTAACATAGCTCTAGTTGAACCTTTCAATTTCATTGTAACACTTAGATTTCATTGAATTGAATACAAACCCGAGTTTGATTCATCTAGCTTTTACTACGTCCATTTGAGAGAACAACTTAGAGAGTTCTAGGTTGTTTGTGAGCTTGTATCGATTAGTTATACACCTTGATCATGGACAAGCATCGACCTATAACCTTCGAGCCTCTTTCCCTTTGTGAAAGTTGCACGGAAGTTTCCATCCCAATCACGCAAACCTTGCCTTGTTTTGTGTGTGTTCTTGATTCAATTCAATTGAATTGGGAAGGCTGCTTACTCTGATCAAAAGAGACCCATCTAAGGCTCATCATTCTAAACTTGGTAGTTAAAGATGGGTTGGATATGCTTCGAGATGGCATTGAAACAATCCATGAAAGTGTAGCTTATTGGACTGCTACTCCTAGGAAGTTGGAGTTATTTGAGGGAGCAGCAAAGCAGTTGGAATTTTCTTGTGATAAAAAGTTTATTTTGGATTGTTCGACTCGCTGGAGTTCAACATATGAAATGCTTGTTGCTGCAATATCGTATGAAAACGTGTTTATTAGTCTAAGATAACATAACTCCCGCTATACTTGTTTGCCTACAAGTGATCTTGGTTATTTGCATTGATTGTTTGTGACAAGTTGCAAATATTCAGTGAGATGTCTAATTTGTTCTCTGATACTAAGTATCCCTCTCCTAATCTGTTCTTTCCAAAGATATATGATCTGAAGTTAAGACTTTGTGAGTGGCTTGTTGATGATAATGCTATGATTTCTAAGATGGTTGAATTGATGTGGGATAAGATCTAGAAATACTAGGATGATATTCACGAAATACTAGTTGTGGCTATTGTGTTGGACTCGAGATATAAGCTTCATATTGTGGAATATTATGCTCGGAAGTTTGAAATGGGTAAGTTTGTCTTAGATGTGGTCAAGATCCGCGTTGGTTTAAGTGATTTAATCATAGAATATCAGTCTAAATTGAACAATAATGTCGGGTTTGCTTCTAGTGGTTCGAGTGCTCAATCACTTGGTGATTCTTCTTCTGTGGATCTCGACTTTCAGCTGTTTGTACATCAAAGGAAAAAGTCGAGAGGAACACCTACTCAAACTGATTTGGACAATTATTTTAGTGAGGAAGTGTTACCTTGGACTGCCAATTTCGACATCTTGTTGTGGTGAAAGTTGAATGGGGCTAAGTATCCTATTTTGCAAGATATTGCAAGGGGTATGCTTGTTGTCCATGTTACATCTATTGCATCTGAATAAACTTTTAGCACCGGTGGTCTATTGTTGGATCCTACTAGTTACAACCTTCACTACACCACTATGGAGATTTTGATGTGTACTAAAAGTTGACTTCAAAGACCCACCCCTGACTTGGAGAGACCCTCTGCTCCCAGGAAGAACAACATACCAATTCACCTCCCCTGCTCGCAAACAATGAAATCTTCATCAAAGTGCTAACAGAATTCCATGGATGAAGTCCAATTAAGAAGAGTACTACTACTTTGCCTTGTTGTAAAAGGGAGGCGTCAATTGTTTCCAATGCTTGTACGCCCAATTGATTATTGTTGATTCACTGTTCAATCAAACTAAGCAAGAATTTCTCACCAACGTCATAGTTATTTGCAGTAGTTGCACTGCCGCAATGGACAAGGCATCCGGACTGGTCCCCGTACACACTTCTTCCAAGCTTCCTTTCTCAATCCTCCCATCGTCCAGTAGACGACAGTTTCGCCTCCGGAGCAATTGATCTCGGCGGAGGGCCCGACAACCTAGGAGGCTCCTTCTTCGAACCTTCTCAGTTGGCTCTGGAATTCCACATGCTCGGCACCCACAGCCAGCCCAATACTAACCCTAATGTCCGCGGCGGGAACCTCGCCGGGAAAGAAGCCTCAACTACCACCGGCGCCGTACACAACTAGTTTCGGGAGAAGTGGGAGATGGGTAGACAACGGCGATTCGGGGTCGATGGTGGGGGTACACGATGACATACGGGCAGGGGAGGGGAATCGTTCTATTCTAAGTGAGAGATACCACCAGTTTCTCTCCAATCCAAGCCGCCAAAGGGGTGAGTTTTCGGTTTGGTTGATTTGGTTCAATTGAATTTGGTTATTAATTTTGTATTATTATTTTAACTGACATGGCATGCTGATTGGGTAGAAGTAACGGATTTTTGGACGGAGATAGACGGAATGACCTTTTGTTATTCGGTCAAAGATTTTTGACTGAAACGTGCAAAATTAAAGATTTGTAACCATTTTGTACTAAGTCAATAGATTTGTGACCATTTATGATAATTACACTTAATTTCTTTTTCCAACTTAAAATGCCTTAATTAGGACAATGAGTTGGGCCCTTACGAAAAAAAAAATTGGACGGGCCAAATTTACAAGTTACTAGGCCCTTGTTGATATTGAAAGTGCACTAGTCAAGAGCTTTCGAGGACATGCGGCCCAATCCGAACCGGCCATCAATATGAGTCTTCTTTGTACTGGGAATATCAGCCGTAAGATCTAGGGTTGCACTTCATTTATATTCTCTTTCTCCGCCATCTAAGATCTTCTCCTCTGGTAGCAGCTCCGCCGAGCAGTCTCATAAACCCTAATAAAACTAGGAGAGCTTGATAACCGCGAAATGGTTCAGCGTCTCACTTATCGCAAGCGCCACAGCTATGCCACCAAGTCCAATCAGCACCGGATTGTCAAAACTCCTGGTAAACTCTTAGTTTTGGAGAACTAATCTTCGTTTGATTCTTTGCTGCGATCTGCTGCTCATTTTTTGGGCCTTGAGAAACCTTTCTTTATCTATGACTCTATGTGATGTGTTCGCGCTGAAGTTTGTGTGTTCTGTGTTTGCGATAGGTGGGAAATTGGTGTATCAGACCACTAAGAAGAGGGCCAGCGGTCCTAAGTGCCCTGTCACCGGCAAGAGGATTCAAGGGGTATGTTCGCTTTCAATAATAAGTTTTCACTTCTGGTTTGGATGGCGCTGGACTTAGCTTTAGATTGAACATGGTTTTGAGATGGATAGACTTCATTTGCTGTAGTATCTATAAATCTTGATGAAGGTTGTTGTTACTAGGCACGCATTGGATTGTGGGAAAAATTGAACTACTTTTAATGATTAAATATCTGTTAAATACTACTGACGTAGATATTGAGTAGTTTTTATATCCTTCAGAGTTCTCTTCAGTTCCATATTAGTGGTGGGTTTGAGTATTTGAGTTCCTTTAGTAGAGTAAACACCATTGTTGTGTTAGGCTATATTATCTCTGTGAATGCTTCATTCATGTTCTCCTTTGGCTAGACTTGGCCTTTTTGTGTGATGCTGAGAGGAGGGATGTTGAGTTGTAAGTCTTAGTTCATCCCTCCGCACGTACGATTTCTTGTCTGTTGATGATTTTCCAGAAGATGTTTTGTGGAAATTTGACCCTATTTCCAAGTTAAGGCAAATGTAGTGGAGACCAATGTAATATTTTCCATGTTGTGTAGCATTTTAAGTTTACTAGCATCTGTTCTTTTTCTTGGGAATATATATGGCGTGAGTGGATGCTAGATCTGAATTATTAAATCTACTGTGTTTTAGATTCCTCACTTGAGACCTGCGGAGTACAAGCGGTCAAGATTGCCCAGGAATCGGAGGACTGTGAACCGTGCCTATGGAGGTGTTCTGTCTGGTGGTGCTGTGAGAGAAAGGTGTGTTTGATTACAACTAGGTTCTCTTATTATGCTCTGTTTTGTGGTGTAGTGTTTCTAACCATGCTACATTATTCTTGTAGGATCATCCGTGCTTTCCTTGTGGAGGAGCAAAAGATTGTTAAAAAGGTGCTCAAGATTCAAAAGGCCAAGGAAAAGCAGGCATCTAAGTAACTTGGAGAAGCAAAGAGTTGTTGAAAACGGCCAGCATTAGGAGGAAATTGTTTGATCATATGTTTTAGAGTGTTTCGGTTTCAATTTGTTATGTTCCTTTTCAATCTCTAAAGAATTATGAATTCCTAGTACTCCGTTTTGGGCCTTGATAACAATTTTTGTGCTCATTTTCTGCACCATTCCTTCCCGTCAACTCCAATTTGACGTTTAATCTTTGGTTGAAGCATACCAATTTTACTAGCTTCGTCACTACAGTCGGCTCATAGATAACGTTGTGTAATGTTAACCAATTTAGCTTCTACACTACAGTCGTGATGTGTCAGATAATCCATAAGCATCAGAGCGAAGTGATTAGTTGTGATTATTATCACGTAATAATCAGAGAGCTTTTACCTTTCCAAAAGGCGTTGATGTATTGGAGCTTTACCTTCTTGTGGATAGAGTTGTCAAATATGACCTGCTTGAGGGCTATGTGTGCCGTGCTGCAAAGGATGCTTGTCCATGACCAAAACAACACGACCTCATCTTCAGTTTGCTCCTTCTCCATGTTAATTTTCTGCTTGAGAAAGATGTTTCCTTGAGCAATGGAGTTGGTTCTTCTTTAGTTAGTCAACTATTTTGATAGACAAGTGGCAGCAATAAGGACAAGATTGATGCAGGTGGCAATTTGAATCCAATTCACTAATTCAATCAGTCAAAGAAAAAATTCAGCTGATTTAAACCATTAATTTTCAATCAATTTGATCCAGATTGGTGAATTCATGGATTACTAAATTCATGGATGTTTGGTGTATCCATGCTATATTTTTTTTTTCAAACTATAAAAGACAAAACATGATTTATTCTGTTTTTCTTTAGAGAGAATAAGTGAGGTGAGATTATTTTTATCTCTTATTATTAATATTAATTACAATAAGGCAAAAGGCAAGAAAAAAGAAGTAAATCAATTATAAATAATTTGTTACATCCTTAAGTTCAGACTAAAAACTTATCACCTTTTACTATATAATATTCATTTTTTTTGTTATTTGTTTCTACTGTTGGGTTCTTCTATATTTCCCTTTCCGAATCAATTAATTATTCCTAAGCTATCGTGCCGATTCACATTAATTGATTATTTATTAATTTATTTACTATTTGAATTCTTTTAAATAATGGTGTAATGATTTTTATTTATTGATTGATGATTTATTTACATAGAATTTTGTGAAAAAAATCCGAACTACATTGTATTTATAAAACAAAACTGTATCATAATCTCATAGCCGACAATGTTGTAAGACAAAGAAGTACAAGCTTTTAAACCAGATCCTGCTCAAGTAAGGTTGAACCAGTAACAACCTTGGTCCAAATACATATCTATATAGGGCTACATTTCTAGGCTATAGCTTTTTGCGCATGAAAAACAAGGCATCGCGGCATCAATGGCTGAGGTTGGAACTTCATCTCTATACAAGAGGTGAACTTGTTAGGCCCATTTCGGGCCGAAAGGTTTCCCGATCGTGGAATGCATTTAAACGAGAGTACAACTAATGTGCTAGCTAGCTGCTCTTCTTCTTCTTCTTCACACCCACCATCCAAATTGAATATAGTGTGGAAAGCTGGCAGCGTCTTTTCCCCCAAATCTACATCCAATAATAATGGGGTTTGGAGCTTGAAACGTGTCTTGGAGTTGAACTGCACGCAATAAAAAGAAAAGAATCCTTCCCTTCCTGAAACTGTAATCAAACCCATATCATGGCTTCCCATGTTTCCTCTGATGCAAAAGTACCAACCAACCACCCACCCTATAGTATTTTTCTTATTATTGATTGAAGTAAAAACTTAACCTCATATATTAATATACTATACAGATTGAATGGATGAAATCCTGATCGATCAAGGAAAGAGATCATGGGAAGCTCACTAAGTCAACAGATTGAATCAGAACAAACCAATCAAAAAAGAGAACCAACAGGGGCTAGCTGAGGCCGAACACGCAAGCGGAAGTGTGTAATACACAAAGCTAGGACGAGGTTCCCCGACACCACAAGCTATATTCTTCGCCTCAGGACTATTTATAGCGACCATTCTTACATTATTTCCAGAAGCCAAACCCCAACACCAAAACAAAAATAGTCACTTAATTAGCTTGTTGATTTTCGAAAGACTCAAAATGATAAGGAAGCCAGCGACCCTCTTCTCTGCCTCTGTTGCGCTTTTCAGTTCTCTGTGTCGCCCAGGACTTCGATTTCTTCTACTTTGTCCAACAGGTATGTGCGTGCCAGCCGAACTATTTCTTCTAGTTCCATCCATAACGTACGTGGTCTCTTCTCTTCTCTTCTCTTCTCTTCTTTGTGTGTGCAGTGGCCGGGAGCCTATTGTGACTCGAGGCAGAGATGCTGCTACCCAAAGACAGGCAAACCCACAGCCGATTTCGGGATCCATGGTCTCTGGCCTAACTACAAGAACGGCGCCTACCCTTCCAACTGCGACCGTGACAGCGTCTTCCACGAATCACAGGTTGGTTGGGATTAATTACCACTTTGTCAGGATTTGGGAAACCTTGCGGGGAATGTTTCAGGATTTTCCCGTCAGGTTATTCCACCACGATTCGCCTTAATCTTATAACGTTGTTTTTTTTTTGTCCTTTGTCCGAAATTTCACAGATAGAAGATGTGCTACCGCAGCTGCAAAAATTCTGGCCGACCCTAGCCTGCCCGAGTGGCGATGGTGTGAAGTTCTGGACCCACGAATGGGAAAAGCATGGAACCTGCTCTGAGTCCGAAATGGACCAGCACGATTACTTTGTGGCGGCTCTTAAGCTCAAGGACAAAGCCAACCTCCTCCAGATTCTCAAGTCTGCCGGTAACGTAACATTCACTCATCTTTTTTTCTTTTTTTACCATCAATTATTGCTACTAATTCCTTGAGGGTTGAAGTTACTGCTTCAGAACTGAAACCACTGGGCTTGTTTGTGGTTATCTTTAATAAGTTGCTGAGGTTGAATTCGGTAAACAGGAATTAGGCCGGACGATGGGCTCTACGAGCTTGACAGCATTGTGGAAGCCATAAAAGAAAGGACAGGTTTTACTCCAGGGATAGAGTGCAATGTGGATTCTTCCAGGAACAGTCAGCTGTACCAGGTTTTTATGTGTGTGGACACATCTGGATCAGACTTCATTGAGTGCCCCATCCTGCCAAAGGGGAGATGTGCTTCCTCCATCCAGTTCCCCAAGTTTTAGGAGGAAAAAGATTCTGGATTCTTTCATCACATTATTGTTCTCTGTTTTTTCCCCCCTCCTTATAATAATAAGATTCTGCTGACTTTTTCTTCCAGCATTTTATCCCTCTTGTAATAGCTGAGCATCAAGTTACATGTCACATTTCCTTATTGTTTGAGCAGTTTATCTTATGAGTGCCCTCTTCAACAAAATTTGACTAATTGCAATTACTAGATAATAATTGGTCCGCGCTTTGAATTTAACGAATGAGTCAATTAGTTAAGTGAATTCAATAAGCACATTATAACTATTTTTAGTACAAACCTATTCGATTGATAATATAAGGGCTAATACTTATGCTGGCCCGAATTATTCTCAAATAGTCAATTTTAGCCCGTGGTTTTCGAAATTGTTATTCCGACCTCAACTATACACCATATAGACTAACTTGGCCGAATGTTTGTTTTGACCGTCAATTTAAACGGTCAATAGTGTTGACTAACAAGCAACGAGTCATATCATCATAAAAAAAAATAATAAAAACTTATAATTAATTAATTACAAAAGTTTACACACATACAATTAGCAAATTAAAAACCTATTCGTAGTTAAAGGAAGTTAAATAAGTTTCATCGATCTATTAGGTTATAGTTCGATTTTATTCGCTTTTACAAATCTATGAGAATAATTAAGCATGCTATGTCGAAGATTTGCTAATAACTTTTTCTTTTCTTTGTTTTGTCTTTTTGTGGCAACTCGATTCTGGTCAACCAACATACTTCGTCGAAGGAAACTACACTCTCTGGCGGGACTATCTTGGAGATGTCGGGTTTTGTTTTTGTTTTTTCCCGTCAGTGTCGTGTCTTTGCTACTCAGAGCTTCTTCAGAGCTGCCCAAGTAGTGGCTTAACGTGCTCCCTCATCGTAGTCTGGTTGCATACAGACTAACGCGCTGTATTTGAGTCGGTTTTGTAATCGTGTCGAGTCTTTGTCCCATGCCCTCTAGGCTTGCCTTGGAAAAAAAAATCCCTACTTCTCTTGTCGTTTCTTGCCTCCACCAGATGTCCCTTGCCGGCGAACGAAAAACCCCTCTGACTCCCTAATTTACGTGAATTGTTCTTGAGCTGTCTCCCTTTGCCTCGCCACATCGAATCCAAGTTCGCCATCCTTGATTCAGCCAAGGACTTGGTCTTACTCGGTTTCTCTTATTGGAAATTTGTTCCCCTGTCATTTTGGGTACCGTCGATTCCGGATGCTCTGCATACGTCAAGGAAGAGATGTTAACAGTGGCAGGGGAGGGAACTGAGGATAGAGCTCGAATTTCATATGATCTCCCAGGAAGAAACCCTAGTTTTGCAGGATCCGAAAGCGAATGAGATGGGGCAGTGGCCAGAATGGACGATAATGGGAATACAGAATTCGGAACAGACCAGGAGCTTCTGAGAGTGGAAAGAGAAGACGGCGATAATACAGAGTCGTTCTACATGGCGGCGGATGGTTCCTCTGCAATCCTAACGAAGAGTCTCGATCTATGAGCATATCCCACTCTCTAGGGTTAATAGCATTTTGTGCCCCTCTACTATTGTTCATTAACAAACGTGCCCCTATACTATATTTTTGCACAAACATACTCTTCTAATATCACAATGTAACGACGATGCCCTTCTGTTAAAAATTCTGTGAAGTGACCTTTAAATGAAGTGAGAAATGATTCAATTACCCCTAAGTGATTCGATACCAAGATCCCATCCATCCCCCTTTACCTAACGAGAAATCCCTACCGCTTCTAATTCTTTCTTCTTTGTCGACGAAGTTGGAGCCGCGACATTGGAAGAAATACGTTTGTCCCCGCATCCAGCTGATAGCGAGAGACTGCCGCCAGCGACCCTCGAAGCGAGAGACTCCCGACATCCAGCTGGCGGTGAGAGACTCCTGTGCCAACTCTCCCTCTTTCTGATCGGAGTCCGTCGTCCCAGCCACTCATCTTCCTCCGTCGTCCCAAGTCCCGACCGCTCCTCCTACTTTGTCGTTCCGACCGCTCCTCCTTCGATTTGTGCCCGATTCCATCACCTGCAATACTTGAAAAATCCGAGAGCTATTTCTTGTCCCACCATTCCCACCCCTCCACTTTGCTTATTGTGAAACTTTCTGTAACCCTAAATCTAGATTGCTATGATAAATCCGATTCAATGAAACTACGCTTTCTAGGATGAATTAGCCAAGCATTTGAATGGGGGATTTTGAACTTACGTACCAGAATTTCAGGGGGATGGGATCAGGTGCTAACCCTTATAGGGGTTAGCATCGTGATAACTAGCAAAAAACGCTACTAAAAATAACGAAATCACTACGGATTATTATAAAATTAATACAACATCTAAGCTAAATCACTACTAATTCAAACTAGTAGTAGTTTTCCCTTGGTTAGGACGATGCTAACTATTGTACAATTAGCACCGTAGCCGTTCCCGAATTTCAGGCTATGATGTATTGTAAATTTTTGGCTAAATTGGTTTTCTGATGTAAATTGTGAATGACCGAGAATTGAAGGTGAGCAATGGTCAATTATTATGTCCAGAATGAATTCGGCTTCTTGAGAATCTGTGGGTTGTAGGCTGCGTCAAGGGAATTTCAGTGCGCCGTAGGTGGGCGTCGGGTTGGGAAGGTGGACGACAGAGGTGAAGATGGCCGCCGGGGTGGGAAGCTTGACCGACGAAGATGCTCAGGAGACGTACGGAATTAGATTAGGGATTTTTAATCTGTAACATCTCGAACCTTTTCCCGACGAAGATATTGTCCGCTTTGGGCCTCGACCCTCACGGTTTTCGACTTGGGGTGCAATTCAAGGTGACTTCCATAAGGTCACCCATCATCGCTGCTCACTAACTGCTTCTCTGGCTCCTCCTCTAGCTTTTCAAACTGGTGAGTGAGATGGGGTCAGTCTACGCCCTTACGTTTAACATTTTATTAATACTTGATCACTTTACTTAACTGAGTGGAAGTTGTTTTGTACTTCCACTATTAAAAAGCTTAACTCTTAAAACTGTATGGGAGTTACTGTTACTCTCCATTCTTAAAGCTCAAATCTTGACTTAAATCTTTTGACTGACACGGGGATCCCTCACTAGCTAGTCCGGTTGCCAACTCATACGTATGAGAAGCCATCCAGGCTTTCCTTAAACTTAAACTTAGTTAGGGGAGTCGTAACTATTCATCCCCCTAACATCTTAAACTTATCGTGGTGGCTCTTCACCACGATTCTCAAGAGCATAACTGCTGCTCATCTCAAAAGTCTCAAGAGCATAACTGTTGCTCTATCTCAAAATGTCTCAAATGGCAACGGACTGGCGCTAGTGACTAAAAACACTTAAAACGACTTCATCACCTTCTTGAAGGTGAGTTACTTCTTAAAAAGAACTTGTTTCTTAAACTTTAACTATAACTCATAACATAACACTTTAAGGTAAAAAGCACAAAATCACCCCAAATCACCTCAAATAGCACAAAATCACCTCAAATCATTGCTCAAGCAAAGCACAAATAATCAATCATAAACATAATCAAGCAATGGTAACCAATTCACTAAAATACTTAAAATCATAATACTTAAAAGAATACGTAAGGCATAGAATTTACCCCTTTACACTCACCCTGATGTAGGAGCTGATTGAATTGAATCCAGAGACCGATTTCCCTTCACTTGCTTGTAGCTTTAATTTGCAATCCATACTTGTGAACATAACCATGGTCATATCAACATCAATCGGAAGTTCTTTGCTTCCACCGCAATTTCTCCCTGGAACGCACCATTTGCTTGCCCGGGATCTAGACCTTAGCTACTTCAAATCATAAACCTCGCCACATACTAAAGATCCCTTGCCATACTGCTCCAAACGTATAATAATAGGCTCCTTTCACCAAAAGATTCATACAAACGAGGTCTAAATTGGTATAAAAGCTTTTCCATATTTCTCCGGCCAAGCTTTCGCAATTACCTTATTTCCTTCTCGTTGAGAGACCATTTGGACTTCCTCGCTGGCCTTTACTGCTGCTAACTCAATTGTCTTATTTGTCTACCTTTGATTTGGAAGATGTGGGTTCGCTCCTGGTCGAGGGACAAAAAATACAGAAGCTGGGGGACTTTGAGGCCGGTTGGTGGCGAGAGGTGAGAGGAGGTGCAATGGTTAGGGTCTTCTCCCTCTTTGTTTTGTTTTTCCAATTGTTGTCACCCGTGGGGAATGGGGAAAACAACTGCTGGGGTTTTATTTGTTGGTTTTATTTGTTTCAGGTTCAGCCGAGTGGGGTTAGTGGTCTAGGGTTTTAGTTTGTGCAAGGTTATTTGTGGAAATCCACACTTACGGGTGAGTTTAATCCGAAACTCAATTAATGTCCGTAACTTTCACATTTTATGTCGAAATTCGACACCGCTTGAACCGATAGTTCACATTTTTAATCCTCATCGATAATACGGTGGAACTTGACCCAAGGGTATAATAGTCATTTTGACTTTTGGGAAGAGCGGGGTGTAACATTTCCTCCACCCTTATAAAAATTTCGTCCCCGAAATTTGATCGGGCGCATCCTTCCATACTCCTCATTCTCGTGCTTCTTTAGCTCAAGATTTCACTCTTTCTATATGCACTTCAATGGTGTGCCCTTACCTTATCTTGAATAGCTTACTATAGTTCTTATATGTACTCTTGACCATAACATATATTCTCATCTAGCTTGGTAGCATCGAATAGGTTTGAGTGACTCATTGCCTTTTCAAAATTTTCCAACTTGGGCCCAGGGTGTGATGGGACACAATTTCGGCTCAATTTATTTGGTCCAACTAATTCTGTACTTGATGTTGAACCTAAATCGATGTCGAGGTATCACATAATCCCACTGGCATATAAACATAATTAAATTATAATTTCAGTTTCAGGGGTAATTGGGTCATTTTTCACACCACTTAACGACCACTTCACAAAATTTTTAACGGAAGGGTGTCTTCGTTACGTTGTGATAATAGAAGGGTACGTTTGTGCAAAAATATAGTAGAGAGGCACGTTTGTTAACATGGGCGGACCCAAGTGGGTGAAATGGTTGTCAATTGACAAACCTTGGATCCAATTTGGGAAACCAAAATCCCTGTAAAATTTTGTTTTAGTGATTATAGTATTCAAATGTAAGATTATTTGACAACCCTTAATGATTTTGATCTATGGTTGAATACCCTTGATTACATTTCTGGGTCCGCCACTGATTGTTAATTAACAATAGTAGAAGGGCACAAAATGCTATTAACCCCACTCTCCACGTCAGCATTAAATGTATTAGCTAGGTAAGAGTGACATAATGACTTTTTTTAAC